TTGGCCTTATTCAGAGGCAAGGAAATGACCTTATCCTGGGCCAAGGGCTCCAGGGAAAGGTCCAGAAATGGCACCGATTTTGGGCATCCATATTAAGGTGTAAATTACTATATGATACGAGAGGTTTAGGGTTTAGGGTTCAGGGTTTAGGGTTTTACGCCTTGGGGGGATTATAGGGACCCTTACGGGTACATATAGGGTATATGGTAGGTAATTTTTGTAAGTTGCCCTGTAATGTTGGGGTTTAGGATTTGGGGATTTAGGGTCCTGGATTTAAGGTTTAGGATTTAGGGTTAGGATTTAGGGTTAGGAGGGTTTAGGATTTAGGGTTTAGGCTTGAACAATAGTGTCAAAACAATATGGAGACGGGTTATAATCAGAGTGACAGGGGGAGTCTTGTGCGTCTAGGGTTTTGGCTAAGTTTGGTTGGTCGGTTTTTCGTGGCTGATCATGTCTGCGGGCGGGGTGGGGGCGCGTTATGGGGGCTTACGAGGATTCATGGGGGGTGTAGTGGTCAGCTTATTAAGATTTGGGCGGTTGGGTCTTGAAGTGTAGGGTGTAGACAGGTTCAGGCCATGGAACTCCGGGGGAGAAAGATCAGTGCGAACTGAGGGAGACACATTAAACAAACATTTTCCCCGAAGTAGGGGGGATCTCGATAGACCGTAAAATAGGGACCCCTCCAAAAAGTACCCTTAATGTTGGGAAATCCCCATATCTCCACTGCATGTACTTCAGTTGAAGCTCACCACGAAGCATCAACAGTTTTCATCATTTCCGATCTTCGGGCTGCGGATGGATGGTAGCAGGAACTGCGAGTATTTAGTCATATCATAGCCATCATAACGGCGTTCTTGGCCCACATATAGAGGTGATTGTTCTGTATGAGACTCCAGCAAGCAGTCAGGCAGTGAAGGCAGGAGCAAACCCTAAACCCTAAGCCCTAAACCTTAAGCCCTAAACCCTAGACCATGTTGAGGAGCTCCTGCAAAAGAAGTCCGCTATGGCAGCAGGGTGGCTCTGAATGCAGAGGCACGGACTGAACCTTGTGGCGCGTGAATTACCAGAAAATGTCTGCCTCCCCCGAGCTTACGATTCCATTTAATGGCATAGGATCAGGCATTGGTAGTCACTGCCTGTTAGTGGTTTAGGTTCGGCTGTAGATTCTTGGACTGGACATCTCTGCCAGGAAATGGCATCCAGGGCAGCCCAGTTCGCCAGAGCATTTCCGCGCGTTCTCCAGAGAGCTTTTCCAGGGCTTCCCGCTTTTCGAGCCACGCGAGCTTGATTTTCCCTTTGGGCCACTTGAACCCACGGTGCGGTTGCCCTTGCCTCTCAGCTTGACACGCTAGGAATTCAAGGTTGCCCCCAACTCTGTAGTAGTTATGATATAGTTCCCTAAGCCCAAAACATACATATACATATATATATATATAGCCTGGAATATGATTTCATTAATATGGACTGCTACAGGGTGGGGGCAGTACCCCAGCCTTCACTCTACTGGGCAGCTTGACGCAGATGAGGGCTCCAAGAAGAGCTTTTCCCCTCTGGCCAAAATGTACAGGCGGTTGGCCCTAGCCCAAATGGAGAGAAAGGATGGTGCGACCAAGAACAGAGACCTACAGGTGGTAAGGTAGGGAATAAGGGAATCTGATCCCTACATAATCCTTATAGACTATATACCCTTAATCCCTAACCCTCAGCAAGAAAGACCTACGATGTGCTGCCTTGCATGGCTTCGCACTGCTACTGAAGTTGGAAGTAACCGTTTGGAGGAACCCGCTGTATTGGGCCAAGGACTGAAACTGTTGCTGTCACGGAGCTTTGGTAAGCTCACTGGTGGTTAGTAGAGAATATGGGGAGGATAACCTCCATACAATCCCTATACAATACATTCCGATATTTCCTTCTAACCCCCAAGTGACTAAGCGCATCTGCTCCAGGATAGACTGGTGGCGATCTGCCTGGAGCCCAGAGCTTGTGAGGAGAGCTCTCAGCTGCTCTAGACTCCAGCAAGGCAAAGATCAGCTCTCCACCACCATGCAGGACAGGCGTTGGCCTTGCGCATCAGTTGCCCTGCGCGGTACTTAGGCAGGACTTTCACCTGTTGTTGTGCGGACGGGCTATCTGCTATCATTGCACCCGATTCTGTGCAAAGTTGTCTGGCACAACATTTGCTCTAACAGGCTCCCTTCCCGCCGGCCTGTGTCGAAAAGTTTTTCATTCTGTAAGCGGACAAGGATCCACTTACCCCACGCCAAACACCCTGATGAGTTGTAGGGTGGGGCGATGAGGCGCCGCGTTGACAGAATCCATAACCGTTCTGCAAACACGGGGCAGGCTGGTGGATTCGATGTGGGGTGTGCTGGTTTTCTCGTCCATGCCTTATGCATCTGGTTTGTTGAAGGTCCGCATGAATAATACATAAGTTAATGACACCGCGCGAGCCCACTAGGGGCGCCACACCGTCTGCGGTGGAACCCGTTTCAGAAGGCCTTTATTTGGCCTTGGCCTTTCCTGAACAATTCTAACTCATTCTTCAGGACACTTTGCCGGAAATGGCCGGGGACCCATCTTCAGGGATGGCAGCAACCGCTGGCAAGCAGTGCGAAGGTGCCGTACATCATCGAAAGCGCAGTTGCTGACGCAATCTCAGCTTTTGGAGCATTGTACAGCCGCATGAGAAAGCATCCGCACTTCTCTCATATGAGAACCTCGGGTCATTCAGCTTTGTTCGAACTTCGCAGCTCAGTTTTTATTTGCCGTTGCGCCCGTTAGCCTTTCTCGCGGCATTGTTCGAGGCCGTCAACAGCCTACTTCCATACTACCGTGCGTCATGGTGGCCGTACAAGCTCATCCTTCCAAAGGCCATGCGGGCTAGCAAGGCATATTGCCACTAATCATGGAGAGTCAGATGGAAAAGGACCTGGAAAACAGATTCGAAGCCAAGGTGTGTTTGTGTGGAGGTTATACATTCACAATAACTTACCTTCTGTTTAGCAGGGAGTCAAGGTGTGGAACAGGAAATGGAAAGTCCGATATTCTAGTATATCATTTAGGATTGTATAGGGGATGCTATTAAGGATCCCCTCCTTCTTTCCTACTAGCCAACCAGAGGAAGGGTCATGCCATTCCGTAGCCAATGCACAAGGATCGTGTTAATTACGACTAAAAGGTGTGGCAGTTTCCATAAACAGGCGGACCCCAACATAGACAGAATCCTTAGCATGCCCCCCAAAACAGACCCCTAATTTTGGGAACCTCCTGTGTTGGTGAGGAAATATCATGCAGCATTTTGCTCAAGTTGCTTTCGGCACGTGACCCTTCATGGCCTCCAGCCAAAGCTACAAGGCGAGCTTCTGTCACCTCAAGCCTCCGCTGGGCTTTCTCGAGATACCAGAATTCCGCTGGTTTTTTTCGTTAACCCCCAAACCTCAAACCCTAAACTCCGAAACCCTAAACCCCTAAACTCCGAAACCCCCAAACTCTAAACCCCTCAGCCCTTGCGGGTCTGTTCAATTTGGGCCCGCAATGTTGGGCAACCGCCAGCTGTGGTCAGGTGGTCCTTGTAGGCGAAAGTGGCACCGGGAAGACATCGCTGGTGAAGCGATGCGTGGAGCGACAGTTCCTTTGCTGGAATTTCGGGTCTAGGGCTTGGGAGTTTAGGATTTAGGGTTTGGGTCTTAGGGCTCAGGGTATAATTCTGATTGTCAGTGCTAGGTAATTTCATGATTATTGGCTATAACTTGGGCCAGTACTGGCTAGCTATTGTTCGTCATCAGTGGTGTAAATACTAGTATTCTTGGGGGTTAGGCAGGGCATGAAGGAATGGAAAGATCAATGACAGCTACTGTTTGGGGTGGTTCAGAATTTTTGTCATGTTCAGGGTTCGGCAAATGGAAAGGAAAATGGAAGCTCCTATAATTTGGGTAATCAACGGCGAACAAAATCGAGACTGAAATGGAAACTAGGTATGATATAAAGGGATATATCGGGGAAGCTGTATTTTGGGGGGAGACTGCACGGGGCTAGTGCGGGAGCTATTCCCCAATTTCCTTTTCAAAACCAGCGAGGTTCTCAACTGATGTGCTGCCAACAGTGGGACTGGAATTCCAGTGGAAGAAGGCCGGCCACGCACTGCACATAGCTTACTAGGGGATCACAGTTTATTGTACCGGTGCTTGAGGGGGGGATGGGGGAGTGGAATTGGGATTATATATAGAGATTTTCATCGGGATACATTCCCTGCTCAAGCACCACCAGGGGCTTTCTCAAAAACGATGTGGTTTTGATAAGATCCTCACGAGATGCATGCTGAGTCATGTGGATGAACCAGGTGCTTACCGGAAATGATTGGATCAAGCTGAAGTTCTGGGACCTGTCTGGCGAGGATCGATTCCGGAGCCTTATGCCCGCATACTTACAAGATGCCTCAGCCGCCATCGTTGTGCAACTCATCTGAAGCTTCTATGTTGAAAGGTTTGGGTTTACAGGTTTAGGGGTCTAGAGTTCAGAGGCACGGGCTTAGGGTTTAGGGCTTGGGGAATGGACCAGAAACTTGAAGCCACCACAAAGGATAATCGCACACTCCCCTACTTAGTGGTCACCTATCTCTTACACTGTGGATGCGGTGGCCTCCTTTCGACATCCTTGGGACAGTCCAGCTTTATGGTCAGCATGGCTCCACCCACGTTCCGTGCGATGTCGTGCAGGCTGTTTGTTGAGCTAGCTGCTGGCAGCTGAGAATGTCAGCCTTCACACCGTAGATTGATCAGTAGTACGGCGAGGCTCAACAGTCGTTTCAAGCCTTATACTCCCAACACCCGGCCGAGTATGTAGTGGTACTTTATTTGGGGTATTCCTTAATACTACAGGGTGGCGGGTTTGATTGAACCCCAAACCCAAAAGCCTAAA